AGGTCCTGCTGCTGGTCTGGAGGATGCCAGACATGCAGTGACACAACTGGGATCCTTGGTACCAACTGATTCTCTGTTCCTCACGTGGCTTTTTCCATTTTTTGTGTCTGTTTTTGTGTTTTCCTCAAGAGGTACTCACTTGTGCTGAATGTCCCTGTGTAGGTCACTTTGGGTTGGGATTTCTGGTAGCCGGTGATGACGACGAGGTATTTCTGTCCGCTTCTGAGTCCTCGGATGACGTGCTCGGTGCCGGTCAGGTTTTGCTTCTGCACGAGAGAGTGGTCGTGCGCCAAGGTGACGGTGATATCAAAAGCGTAGGCGTTGTGTGGCTCGGGGCTGGCCCAGCGCAGCCTGGCACTGTTCTCCGTCACGTCTGAGATCTGGATGTCGTGGCTCTTGGCTGCGATGCAAAATCAGAAGAAACACTAAGCGAGGACTTGAAGAGGAAAGGTCTCAAGGAAATCGTGGATCAAATTCCCACTCTGCAGCAAATAAACTCATCTGCAGCCGGTTGTGGCATGTGCAAAGCGGGTTGTGACTTTGCTGCCTCGGTTGCCTCACCCAGCACGCTGCGGGGAGGCTTTTTTCCTGATAGCCTAGATGATTTACCAAGTGGTTTATTTATTTTTTAAAAATATGCTGCAATTTAGCAAATCAAAGCTAAAAAAGTGATTCCCAGCACAACTTTCCCAACAACTGTAAACCTGTCCAGTCAAATCCTTCTCCAGGGTGCAATGGAGTCACCGAACTGCTGAAGATCTTCAAGCAAAGCCTGTTTGAGATTGAACGTAACCTTGGACAGGTCAAAGAAGCCCTTAGGGAAAGGTTTTCCTGCTATGGCAGAGTATTGGATGAAACTTTTATAAACACTGCTTGGAAGCAAAAGTGGAGCAAGAAACGTGCAGAAACGTTTAGTCCCGGCAGGCTGATGAAAGCCTGAACCTTGTAAGAGCTGATCGCTCTTATTTATTGCTTTTTATTGATTATTTACAGAGAGACACACATTCATTGACTGGTTAAGCGTCCCTGGGCTTTGACACATGTTCTTTGCTACTCGTTCAGCTAACACAGAGCTCCCTGCACCCCCTTGCAAAAAAAAAACACGGGGGAAAACTCCTTTTTATGTGAAGTGTGCTCACAGGAAAGAGCTTTAGCAGTCTCAAATAACAGGTCTCCACCCTGAGTCAGCGAGGAACTAGCTGGGCTAACTATTTATATGAGCTGACGGAGAATTCAAACCATGCCACTGTATGAATCACCATAAATAGCAAAACTTAGCCGAGGGGTAATGCTACGAGGAAAACATAGAAAGCAAACAGGCCACACTAGAAAGAGAAGCACTTTGTCACTGTACTGCTGACCTAGGCAGCAGATGATGGATGGTCTCACCTTTAGATGTCCTGCTTGTGTTTTCCCTAGAGACAACCTGCCCCAGACCCGGTTTTGCACAAAATCCTCAACCCAAGTTGACAAAGCCTCAACGCCCCCAGTGCAGATCTCCAGTTTTGCACCTAAAAACTTGTTTTCTGCAGGCACGACATTTGGCCTCTTAGTGACATCTCCTATGGGAAATGTCACTTTCCTCTTAGGGAGGAAAAAAAGCCGCAGCCCACTGTGGTACAGACAAGCAAGAGGCCCTTCTCACATAGGGAGAGCCTTTCACCTACCGCCTTGTCTTCTCCTGCCACCTGCCGTGGCGGCCGTGGTGCTCGCGGTGGTGCGACCGGTGGCTTTGGCGTGGGTGGTGGTGCTTGCTGCGCTCTGCGTGGTGGTGTTCACCTGGACCACGGTGCTGGCTGTGGTCTGGTCGGTGGTTCTGGTCTGGGCCGTGGTGCTGGCAGTGGTGGTTCTGGCACGGGCGTTGGTGCTCGCAACAGGCTTGGCGCTCGTACTGACCGTGGTGCTGGCACTGAGGGTCCGGCTTATGGTCACGTTGGGTGCCACGTACCTGTCAAAGCAAAAGGGGCTGATACAGCTCTTTTGTCACCCCTATATAAGCGGAATTTTCAAGTGGAGAGGAGTCGATGTAGAAACCATTGGCAAGAACCTCGCTGAGGTCAATAGTCTTTGTCAGCTTTAGGTATGCCCACAGCCAAGCAGTGAAACCTGGGGCCCAAGTCTGTCTATAAGTCAACTCTACACACATAAGAGTGAATTCGGCAGACAGATCTGTAGCGTTCCTGATTTCAAGGGGCGCAACCTCCTAAAGCCAGGACCAGCTCTGTGACACCGATGAGCACGTCTTGGTGACACAAGCTCTCACTCCTGTTCAGAAAATATTAGGATATATTCTGTGATGGATCCTGAATATCAGATAGTCTGGGGCATCCCAGCCTCCGAAAATTGTTTGTTGAGTGGAAAACCCCAAATTTATAGTAATTTCTGGAATTCCTGACCTGCATGATGACAGTAGCATATACCTCCTTCATATCCTTTATACATATATAAATATAATTTTAAATTTGGGTTTAATTTCACATGTGTACTTGTCTACCCTTCTCTAGTAGATATATCTGTTGCTCTTTCGACACAGCACTAAAGGAACTAGTAAAACACCGATAATCCTGATTTTTAGCATCAAAGTCGCTTTTTCTTTCTTTTTCCAAACAGGGGCTCTGAAGTGAAGGCTTTTCCCCCAAACGGGCTGTTAGCAAAGCTCATTCTCTCGCAGACAAACCACTACTTACACTGCTTTCTGCCCAGTGTGCCCAGGGCTCTGGCTCTTGGCTTGCTGATCACTCTGGAACCACTCACACTGTTTCCTTATCTCTGGAGACAGGTAGAAAGCAAAGTCACCTGGAGACAGAGAGAGCCTGGCATTAAACACTGGTGTTGAGGATGGTGCTTACCTACCAACAATGCATTACATCTATTTCTTCTTGATTTAAGAAAAAAAAAACAACAAAAAACCCTCTTCTTGCTTGCTCTGATAAAAGTTATGGAATATCTCTTGATGTTTGGTGTGGTTACTGCAGCATCCTGGGCTGGGAGATTTGTTATTCTGATTTACAAACATGAGAGCAGTAACTACACGATACCAGAGGGCTGTATGTCTTAGTCTGTCACATATAAACAGCTTTCTTATAAACAAGGCACTTCCAAACATACAGTTAATATATTTTTCAAGAGTTAATAGTTTCCAGAACTCCTGTAAATGCTAAATGGAAAAAGCAAACTGAGAAAACGTAAACATTTATTTTAAGGGAAAGATGTGCTCGTGTTTACTTCCTATTTAGTGCATTTTTTCTGAATCAGTGATTTATTAGCCCACTAGACTGATTTTCAGGACTTTTTTGATAAAACAAGCTTTCCTAGAAAAGGCCCCTTTCTTGTCCTTTCTAGTCAGATCTGTTTAGGATCTCTGGCAGCTGGCTGTGGCTGGAGATCCAGCCTGGGATCTCTAGCTAAGATGAGATGCAAATCTTCAGGGCACAATCTGCACATCCCAAACACAGTAGCATTATTTATCCCCGAGCAAAGAACCCTGTTCATCCGGTCCTTAAATCTGCGTAAACCAACTCCAGATCTCAGCCTGAGCTCTCCAAATGACTGCTAGACGTGGTGTTTATGCTGAAGTTGGGAAGAAAGATTTGCTGGGTGTTCAGGGAGCTCGAGGGGAATGCTTGCAGGCTGCTGGGTTGCAGAAGGCTGAGGACCAGACTTTATGGGACATGTTGCAGATGTGACCAGCAAGCCAGGCAGGATTAGGTCAGATGGCACAGGTGAGCCCATAGAGTCCAAGTCAAACCAGACAAAAGTATAGACTCTACTTGGCAGAACAGACTGCACAGAGTGAACTGGGGAGGCCAAAGTGAACAAAACCCAGACATATTCAACTAGACAGACCTATAAACATCAACAAAGCAGACCAAACAGTATAGAACATATAAAAAGAGACTAACACTTCAGTGGGCTCCACTGCCCAGAGAGGCAGTCAGGATAGAGTCCACCCAACCAAAAGGCAGGTAGACCAAACCTGGCAGATTAACCCCTCTGATGTCACCCGTTGCCCCTTCCATAGCACTTTGGCTGCAGGATGTTATACTTACTTCTGATAAAAGATGGCAACAATCTCCCAAAGCGTAGCAAGGGCTCTTCATGAAGCTCTCCTGGTTTATCGACCAATTTGAAGAACACGTCGTTTGGCTCGCTAGCTAGGCTATAGATATTCTTGACGTTCACCTTCCTGCCAATGCCCAAGACAACAAAGAAGTACCCTTTGCATTTTGCATTGATAACAACTTTCTGCAGGTATTCAAGTTCTTGTTTATTCACTTTTCCGGTCATCATCAGAACGATGACTTTTAGATCCCGAGGGTTTGGTGCACTTTCAAAAATGTGAGCCACTGTATGTTCAATTGCACTTCCTATAGCCCTTGTGCCATGGAGCTGGGTCATTTGGTTGTGAAGGTAATTCATAATCTTCTCTTTGGATCCATAATCAGTTAGTGAAAACTCAGTTTTTACTGGCGGGAAGCTTGAGTTGGTTTCATATTCATAAGGAGCTTGCTGGAGAACTGCCACTCTTGCGTGGTGCTGAGATACTTTTGGCTCAGAGCTGATTTCCAGGTTACTTATGAGGTGGGAAATGTACTTCTTCATCTCATTGAACTGCAGAGGGGTGGTGGACTCCGAGCTATCCATGATGAAGGCAATGTCAGTGTCTACATCTGTTGGGGCTGCCCTTCTGTCTCTGAATACAGGTCTCTGACTACCAAAACCACAGGCAGGATCAGGATCACACACATCTAGGGAAGAAATACAGTAGGTCTCACCTGGAGGAACTGAAGATGACCCTCTTTGTTGCTGTAAAAATCTCGTGTCATACGAAATTCTCCTGTCAAGCCATGAATATTCACTGATCCATTACTTGATACCAAAGTAATTTCATCCCAAAACACATTTAGTTATGCATTTAGTGCTTTTATGCGCTCCTCTGTCCAAAGGGATCCCTGAAGTGCTCTGTCATAAATGGCAGAAGGCCATGTTTTACAGCGCTCAGCTATCGGTATTTGGGCTGTAAAAATGGCAACTGGCCAAAAAAGGAGCTTCTCGTTACAGTGTGGAGAACACCCATGCTAAACAGCGAGCATCGTTCCCAACGCCAACGTTTCCTGCTCAGTCTAAGAATATGAAACCCTTGTCTTCAGCAGCAAAAGGGCTAACTCCCAACTGGGCTTCCCTTCTGCACCACTGACAACTGACTGCTGCGCGACCGGAAGGATTTGGCACTGTCTAGAGAAGAAATTGGATGTTTTACCCAAACAAATGTGACAAGTCAAGAGCCTCCGGATAGTTTCATTCAGCTGACTGCCACTGGCTGGAAGAACAATTGCGTGTCCAACCGCTGTGTTGTTGATCTGGTGAGATGCAAAGAGAAAAATATGGTGTTAGTAGCGCTGCCTTCTGTTGTTTTCAGCTCAAAGTAGGAGAGGGCAATCTATAACCCTAAGGGATTCTCTGCTCAGCATGCTGCTTTTGGTGGATCCCGTTTGGAGGAGCCTAATGGGCCTGACATCAGTCAGTGGGTCGAGTTTAGGGACATAAACTCCAAGAAAAGGGTCAAGCACTCGAACAAGTGCTCAGTGTGCTCGTCTGGGGCTTTTTTGTTGCTTTAAATCTCTGTACTTCCTCTCTCTCTCTGCCAACAGGACTTTTACCTTCTCACCCTTTGCCTTTCTGTCCAATCAGACATTTCTCGCTTATGGACTGTCTTTTCTTTGGTTTCATACCGAAGCTGGCACCCTGGGGCCAAGTTCAGGGAAACAAATGACTCGTCATAACCTCACTAAGTTCCCATAGGAACCAAAGCCATCAGTGTCCCCAGCAAACCAGACTAAGATCATGAGCAGAAAAGGAAAGAAAGGGTGAATGGCCCCAACCTCCAGAGCTCTGGTGAGAACCGGGTCCTGCCGGCTGGTGAGGAACACAGGCATAACCCCAGCATCGTAGAGTTTCAGCACGGCATCATTGAGCTGTGGGGAGGCTCTCGTGTCCCCGTTGCTGAAAAAGACAGCCACCTTCCTCATAAGGAAGCCACTTCGGGCACGCTTGAAGGTATTCCTGGCCACGAAGGACATGGCTGTCTCTAGGCTGCGTGGCTTTGTCGTTAGGGTCGCCTGGAAGTTTTGGATCTGCTGGAGGAGGCCTGATTTCTTCCTGGCGTCAGCAAAGCGGATCTCTGTGGTGACCTCGTTGTTGTAGGTGACCAGAGCCACCCGGGCACCCCGAGGACAGTTGCTCTCAGCGATGGTTAAGTTGTTGACCACTCTGAGCACAGTTTGCTTCATCCTGTTGAAAACACCCGTCACGACGCCCGAGGAGGTGTCGATAGCGAAGGCCAGCTCGGTCGGGAAGACTGGACACTCCTTGGGACCTGTCAGAAACGTCCGTTGGGAACAAACAGTGCCCCAAATAGTTGTCAGGGTGCAAGGACCATGTCCTTGTCAGGGGTAAATCATTCATACCGCGTATGCGGGGAGAGAAACAATTCTGGCACACGGTCACACTGGGGTGTAAGGGACTGAAGGTGACTTACCATAGCAGCAAGCTGTGGAAAAGACGGGGGAAAAAAGCAGTTTGGTCAGTGCCATTTGTGGAAGGTGATGGGCGTGCAAGGGTAGTGACAGGGAATTAGCAAAGCACCGATGTACTCACGGCATTTGTCTTTGATGTTCCGCACAAGTGCACATTGCTTTAGAACATAAAAGGAAAGAGAGAGAAAAAAGGAAAAAAGAGATGTGTGACACAGCCAACAAAGGACTATTTCAAAACAAGAGAGAAATGATGCCAACTTACATCTCTGGATTCTCCTTTATCACCTTTAAGTCCCTGTTTAAAAAATAAAGTCAAACTGAGTGCGATGTTTATTTTCAGGGTGCCCCACGAACCCAGTTGGAATAATTATTTACCCATAGGTCATGCAGAAGCTAAGGGGAAACCTGCCTGTTTTCAGTTGTATTTCCAACAACAGAGGGAAATGTTTTTCCCTGTGAGGAGTAAACCTAGCGGAGACCAAACCCAAAAGGGATATTTATGATGCTCCAGGTTCATATGCAAAGCAAACCAAGTGGCCTTGGCCTTTCTAGGGAGCTCTGTGCCAGTCAGATTTGATCATGGACCATATCCTATACCGGATAATAAATGATAAAGAGCTGAGAACTTCCTGGAAGGAGCTTTAAGTAACATGCTGCCACAGGGAAATCCTAGTGTCTGGTAAGAGCCTGTCTCTTGACTTTTTCCTTCTGCTGTGCATTGCAGTTTGTGCAGGGGTGAATATTTATCAACAATCAACAGCTAGTGAGAAATTTACGGAGACACATCCCAGACAAATAAAGAGGAATTTGTCCAGCTTGAAATTAGCAGGAGATGGAGGTGGACATATTTTTTGACCCTTGACACCAATAGGGACTGCCACGTTTTCTCAGAGAGGCAATCAGGAGTCTCTCCAGGGAGGAAGCCAGAGGCTCCATCAGCAATGAACACTTACAGATGGTCCAGGGTATCCAACCTCTCCTTTCTGACCAGGTGTCCCAGGATCTCCTGCATTTCCCTAGAGAGAGAAAGAGAGCAAAGAAGTCCTCTCCATGAACCTCTGCAGGAGGACTTCCAGCAGCATAGGTCAACACTGACTGGGAAAAGATGCACGCATCTTTCAGGCCATTCATGCAGAGGGGAAAAATTGTGTCATGGTCTTACTCTGCGGCCTCTGTTTCCTCTAGGGCCAGGGCCTCCAGCACCACCACGGTCACCAGGTCCACCCTAGTTGGGGAAAAACACAAATGGTAGCTCTAAATCTGCACAGGGCCATAGGCAATGGCTGCATTGCTTGGAAAATGAATGCATAGCTCATGGGTGGCACCGTACCTTGGGCCCTGGGTAGCCTATGAAGCCACGTTCTCCCTGAAACAACAAAAGGGTTTACGTCAATATAGGGGTTTAGAAAATGAACCCGATTCTACAGGCAGATCTGTAACAACTGAAGGAATTAAATGACGGAGGAAAAAGACAGCGAGGCTGCAAATTCATTTTGCAACTTTGCTCTTCATATGATTAACGGAGAGCAAACAGCTACTCTTTGAGGTCTGATTGCTCCTCTAAGGCTGATTTCAGCTGTAGAGGAACTATCAGAAATGATGGCATATTGTTTTCAAATTCCTACAGACATTCATAGGGCTTTCTGGCTAGAAAGTACAAAAAGATTATACCTCCTCCTTGGAGAAGCTGATTTACGTAGGCAGAACCAAGAAAAAGATGGAGGGGAAAGGTTTGAAGTGTCTTGCCTTATTTTCTCACCAGGCTACCCATAGGGGAGATTTTTGTCCATGTATGTGTCTGACTTCACCCAGGCTCTGGCCTTGCCCACCTTCCCTGAAGACCTCGGCTACTTCCTTGTCCTTGGTAACTCATGTCAGTAGGTGGGCACGCTGAACATACACCTACCTTCCTGCCTTTAGGGCCTGGGCCACCAATTCCATCTCGTCCATCGTCACCCTAAAATTGGAAAGTCGAAGTCATTAATATGCAGTCATATGTGAATAGTTTAAATCTCACAGGCATCAATAGAAGGAACCCACCGATGCCATGGACTTTTGAGAAGTCCTTCTATAGATAAATCTATTACAAGAAAAAAAAGTGGTGCCAAAACTACAAATCTGAATTAAAACCCTCTTAGTATACACATATAGTGTGTAAAACCCAGGTGGAAGTCAGCAATGGGAAGCAGGTTACGAGGTCAGTCAACGCTAGGGGTGTACTTATAGCTGTGTCTGACCCAAGCTTGTCCTCCCTTGCTTTGCACAGACCATTTTTCCTTCAGTTGGCTCCTCATTATACAGAGTAACAAGCATCAGACCCCATGAAAGGGCTCACTTAGTCCATACATCCTTTTTACAGGTTACTTTCAACTAGCACACAGGATCAGCTCAGATCATGATCATGATCCTCACGCAATGAGCCAGGACAAGGCCAAGCAACTCTGGACAGCCTCTGCCCTGCAGACTGATCTCTGAGATGTTAAAAGTCACTTTTCTAGTCAATAGAATTCACCTCCTCAAGGGATGACCATCGCCAACTGTGCTTATGCCAGCTGAAGACATAAGGCTGATTTCCCTCTCTCACCATGTACTGTGGAGGATACAAAGACCATAAGGGAGCTAAACTCTCCACTCCAAAGGACTGTGACCCATTTGCCACAGGAGAGGGTTCAGCCCAGCATCCTCAAAGGTGTGAGTGCATGGCCACACTTACCATCTCTCCTCGTGGGCCCTGCTGTCCATTTGGCCCTTTGGGTCCAGGGTTTCCAGGCTCACCCTGAAAACAGGAGCATCTATTAAAGCATGTGCTGAAACACCAGGCAACTCTGAGCCTTTCCCACCCCACCAGCACTGGTTTCTTTACATAGACCAGTCTTCAGTCGTTCTTGCAGCAGAAAGTCATGGCTGGACCTACACGGCCAGCAATGCTGCAAAATGCTTGCTTTTTAGTGGGACCTTTAGTGATTCCAGGAAAGCTGAGCGATGGGACATGGGAGAACAGCCAGCTCCCATCACAGGATCGTGTTTGTTTTTTATAAAAACTGCAAAAATAAAAGCTCTCAAGCTCTGGGGATTTGGCCAGTGCAAATGGACAATGGAGCAGCTATAGAAATGAACCAGCATGTGTGAATCTGGAGAGAGAGAACCAAATGGAGGGTCTGGAGAGATCCAGCATGACCACTTCCCCATGTGGGTACCAGCTGAGAATCCACTCTGGAAAATTCCTTGGGAATCTCAGTTACTCAATTGCATTTCCACCTCTGTGTAACAAAATGGAAGCCTAACGAAACAACCAGAGCACAGACCTTGCTCTACTCTACACTGCAATTCCGTGAAGATAAGCAGATTTCACTCCAAGATGTTAATCTCCAGTATTTTTCTGAGCTCACTCTATCCGGAAGATTTTCATTGCTGTTTCAGTTGCTGATGGCCCGTGCTTGTGAAGACATACCTTTCGTCCTAGGGGACCGATCCTGCCCCGCTCTCCTGGAACTCCTGGTGGTCCACCACCAGCCTGGAACAGAAACAGGAAGAGGCACGTTGGCAATGTATCAATAAAACTGGGTGCCAGAAACTAGGGGATTGGATGAATGTAGAAATCATGTATTAACTACTAGGGCTGGCGCCTCTCAAAGCACCTTAGGAAATTCAGAAGTCTAATTCACGGTTGGGAAGAGCTGAAGGACCAGGTCAGCTGAATGCAAATATCAGCAGCAACCTATATTGTCTCCAGAAAAATCCCTTGGGAAAGGTGCGAGCAAGAGGAACAAAGTCCTGCTCAGGATGGGGAAATGCAAGATGCGTCTGGCTTTATGGACACGAGTCTTGCTGGGGTCAGCAGCAGGAGAGAGAAATAAATGCCTGGGCGTCCCCATCAAACATGTGAGATGGTCGTGCTCTGGCCTCAGAGGTTGAAATATCACAGAGGAGGCTCTGCCAGACACTCAGAGATGTTCTTTAATTAAGATCGCAAACCATAATGGACCGAACGCTGAAGTCCTGACCCCTTTGTGGTTGCTTTTAACTCTTTCTCTTTTGTAGGATGAAGAAATCTTTAGCATAAGCTGAGAGCAGGATTGTACTGGAAGGGTGTGTTATAAGAGAATGAAACAGAGTCAGAGCCCTAGAGAGGGAAATGGGAAGACACATTGGCTGCATCTTATTAGTTGAGTGAGATGTTCTTGCTGAGCACAGTTGGGTCAATGGCTGAGGAGCAGCAGAAGGGTTTACCCTGGGTCCAGGCATGCCCTGCTCTCCTCTTAAGCCTGGTGTGCCAAGCTGGCCGGGCGGACCCTGTGGAGGGAGAAAAGACAGACTGTGTCAAAGCACACCAGCGCTACACGAGATCGCACAGGGAAGCAAACACTACAGCGCCCAAGAGATGGTTTTCAAACACGTCACAGCTCGGGTGGTGTGAATGCAATGGCAGACCTGATGTCCCAGGGCAGGACAGCCAGGCCACAGTGCACCCAGAAATACCCAAATCCTGGCAGTCCTCACTGCTGAGGCTCTTTGAGGGAGCAGCTGTGACGAAATAACGCAACAGCGTCATGACATAAGACATTCACCTTGTCGTAAGCTCACTGACCTGTGGCCCTCTCATGCCTTGTTCTCCAGCCGGCCCCGCCTGTCCGGGTGAGCCCTTGGTACCCTTGAAGTGCAAAATAGGACAACGTAGGTTAGCGTGGGGGACGTGGTCAACATCATGGGGAGGGAGAGGAGATTTCAGGGCATTTACAGCTGCATCAAGAGCAGGGAAGAACAGTTATTCTATAGAACAGTTGTTTGAGGGTTTTTTTCAGAATATGGTTATAGCAGAGAATAAGCACAGAATAGAATCTTTTAGGTTGGAAAAGATGCTCAAGATCATCTAGTCCAGCCGTTAAGGTAGCACTGCCAAGTCCACCACTAACCATGTTCCTAAGCACCGCATCTACACATCTTTTAAACACCTCCAGGGGTGGTGACTCAACCACTTCCCTGGGCAGCCTGTTCCAATGCTTGATGACCCTTTCCGTAAAGACATTTTTCATAATATCCTATCTAAATCTCCTCTTGCATAACTTGAGGCCATTTTCTCTTGTCCTATCGCTTGTTACTTGGGAGAGGAGACCAACACCCACCTCGCTACAACCTCCTTTCAGATAGTTGTAGAGAGTGGTAAGGTCTCCCCTCAGCCTCCTTTCTCCAGGCTAAAAACTCCAGTTCCCTCAGCCACTCCTCATAAGACTTGTGCTCCAGACCCTTCACCAGCTTCGTTGCCCTTCTTCAGATGCACTCCAGCACCTCAATGTCTTTCTTGTAGTGAGGGGCTCAAAACTGGACACAGTATTCAAGGTGCAGCCTCACCAGTGCCGAGCACAGGGGGATGATCGCTTCCCGAGTCCTGCTGGCCACTCTATTTCTGATAGAAGCCAGGATGCTATTGGCCTTCTTGGCCACCTAGGCACACTGCTGGCTCGTATTCAGCCACCTGTCGACCAACACCCCCAGGTCCTTTTCCACCAGGAAGCTTTCCAGCCATTCTTCCCCAACTCATAGCGTTGCATGGGATTGTTGTGACCCAAGTGTAGGACCTGGCACTCAGCGTTGTTGAATCTCACACTATTGACCTCAGCCCATCGATCCAGCCTGTCCAGATCCCTCTATGGAGTAGATCAACACTCCCACTCACTTGGTGTCATCTGCAGACTTACTGAGGATGCACTCGATGCCCTCATCCACATCATTGATAAAGATATCAAACAGAACTGGCCCCAGTACTGAGCCCTGGGGAACACCACTGGTGACGAGCCACTAAATGGATTAAACTCTATTCACTACAACTCTTTGGGCCCAGTCATCCAGTCAGTTTTTTACCCAGCAAAGAGTACACTTGTCCAGGCCATGAGCTGCCAGTTTCTCCAGAAGAATGCTATGGGAAACAGTGTCAAAGCCTTTACTAAAGTCTAAGTGGACAACATCCACAGCCATTCTCTAATTCACTAAGTGGGTCACCTTTTCTTAGAAGATCGGAACCAGGAGGGTAATTTTCCTCCTGCAATCAATGGACATCAATCTCCTTCATGCTTTGGTCCCATTATGCTGCTTCAGCAGCACGTGGAGACAAAGCATCTGAGCAGGGAACACTGCAGAGGATGGGCAGCCCCAGGCACGTGGACGCCGGGCTTTGCACCAAGTCCAGCAAGGAGCATACAGGGACATGAGCCCAAGGAGGAGGAGGGAAATTTCGAGGAAAGACGAGGCAGAGAGGAAGAAGCAAAGTCTGCATGTCTCTTCTCCTGGCACATCCCTCTGGGTGCTGTGGCTGCCTGGCTGGTGACATGGCAGGAGTCCAAGGCGTTGTCCCCATCAGCACTTACCTTAATGCCTATCGGTCCCCTTCGTCCTGCCATACCCTGCGAATGAAGGAACGATGAGATTTGTTACGCAGTGTGCAAGCACGCACATTTTTCTATTGCTTTTTGATCCGTGTATCACCGCTTCTCTTAGTCCAAAATCATGTTTGAATAGTTTAAACCACTGGGGAGAGGGAGAGAGAAATCCACACTCCACCTTCTGCTAGACAGCCAGCTCTCTTAAATCTTAAATCCTAAATTTCTCCTTCCTTGCACCCCCCAGCCCTCTGCACAGGTGAGTTGCTCACTCACACACGCAGAAGGATGCCACAGTCCCTGGGCCACTGGCCCGAGGGACAAGTGGCATTGGAGCAGCAGGGAAAGCATCTCCGGACATCCCAGCTACACCAGCTCCAGTTTGTTTTTTGCCTTTTAAAAACCAGTAGTGAAATGCAGATGCATATGCTGGAGTAAATCAGGTGTAGTTTCACCGATCGGAGCCCTGAGTTACTTGCACGGGAATAAATTCAGGATTAGACCTTGAAAGTCTATGCAAGGCAGCAAAGCACCAGGCATTTTCCTTTTGAGGTTTTTTTTTTTTCCTTTTTTTTTTTTAGGTTGAACTCCTGACGCTTGTGAAATAAAATACATGGGAAGGCAGGAGGGAAAATGTTATTGTCAATCTAAGCTCGGCCCCCGCTGGCTGCGGGTCTGGCAGCTCACCTTCCTCCCAACTCCACCGTCTTGGCCATCCACACCCGCCGGTCCTGGCTCTCCCTAAGGGAAACACCAAACTCAAGTGAGAGTCCCGAGACAAGCAGACACGAGGAAAATAAGTTCAATTCTCAAAAACTGGGTCCTTCCATGCTCTTACACAAGCTACTTGGTATTCCCACATCGGTGGAAATCCTTCTAACAATTCATGGAAGCTTTCCATCAAGTTTCTGAGCTAGTGCATGCCAACAATCCCATTCTTCGTGAAATACCTTCTGACATTTTAAGATGCATTTTCATTCTGAGTTGATATGAAAACGAATGGGTTTTGAAATTTTCCAAGGAACACGTGGTTTGGTTTTTTTTCCAAAGTTTCAGGTCAATCAGGACATTCAGATTTGGTATCGCCTAAACAGTTCTCTGCTTTTGAATATGACCCGCAAGAACATATGAAGTTAATTTCCAAGTACAAAGTTCTTCTCAAGTGACAAGCTCCCAAAAGGCATGGTAAAATAAAATAATTTAAAAAAATAAAAAATAAAAGCGCACTTCTTACATAAAACATCTAAACGGACATCTTCCCAGAGAAAGTTTTGGTTGCAAACCAACAACATTTTCCAGTGGAAAAATATTCCATCTGACAAGGCAGGATGAGTTTCAGAAACTCGCACCTTTTTGGCAGCATCCTCTTTTCTCACTTTTTCTGTCCCATCCAATTGTAAAAACCAAAAAACAACAAAAGACAACAAAGAAACTTTACCATTGGTCCAATTTCACCCTTTTGGCCTCTGGTTCCCCTTTGAGTATTATCAGCTCCTGAATCTCCCTGAAAGCAATAGAGCGATGAGAAACATCTGTGTAAGTGGGACATGGAAGTCAGACATCATAAACTGCTCCGCTGTAGCTCAGAACCAGCATTTCTTTTTTTCTTTTTTGACTGAATTAGATAAAGTATTGTTGGTTCTTTCAGAAAGACACAGCATTTCAACTGAGAAATAATAATATTGAAGAAGAAGAGGAAGGGAAATTTTAATATACTGAAACAGTGATTGGCAGGGTGGTATCAAGAGGCACGTGTTACCCACATGTCATCTCTGGGTCCTTGCTCTGTCACCGGACCTACCCACGTCAAGTGACATTTAGCAAGCCTGAGTGCATCCTAGCTGATGACCCCCAGGACTTCATCAAGAAGATGCCTTAGAAATATTTACCGGGTCTCCACGGAGCCCACGATCACCTCGTTCTCCTCGTTCACCTTTAACTCCCTTATCACCCTGCGGAAGAAACGGAGAGTCAGCGAGGGCGGCCCTTGCCTGCCAAAAGCATCTCTACTCTCACGCACCTCTGCCCGGGTCCTGAGTTCCGAGCGGTGTGTGGTGGCTTTCCACCCTCCCCTGGCTGAAATCCAACTTTTCACCATCATTTAGCCCCGTCGTAAACGTGATAAAAGCCTACCCTCCTGCCAGTGTATCCCTTCTCTCCAGAGGAGCCGGGCAAACCCTTGTCTCCCTAAAAAAGAAAAATATTTTAGAATATTTGCCACTTTCAAGGAGCTTCTTAGATGCTTCACCAGAGCATCTCGTTATAAAGAGAAAATCAATTAAAATGACTGACCTCTTCTCCATCAATGCCATCCAGACCCATTTCTCCCAGTTCACCCTGAAGAAGAGAGGCGAGGGGCAAATGTTCACCGAGGGAAAGGGGAATGGGGAGGGGGATACCAGTGTGTCCATATGCTCACGCTCACCACCGTGGCATGAGGAAACAGCTCCATACCTTCTCTCCTGGGAATCCCCGAGAACCCTAAAGAGATCAGAACAGGGAATTAGTCCACTTTTACCCATTTCATCGCCATGGGAAGCGGTGGAAAAGAGGGGCTGTGCTTGGTCGCAGACCCAGAGCCAGGACTGAGGCAATCCCAGGGCTTGCAGCACTGAGGTTCAACTGCCCCTTATTTCTCTTACATCAATCTTCTCCTTCAGCTGCCTCCTCAACACTCGTGCCAAAATGAAATATGTGCATCGTGACTTTTAGCCAGGTGATCCAATATAAAATAGCTTACTCCTTAGCTACAACTCTTTCTCCACTGACTTTTCTCCCTGCACTCATTTTTATATGAATCCAGATCCAGTCTCAGTGGCTTTGTCCAAGACTGGACAATTTTTTAAAGAGACTCGGTATCTCAGCTGCAACTAACGGGCTTGGTTCACGCACTCTTCTGCGCCCTGCCAGAGGATCCTGTGGCTGGAGCAAATGGTAGGAAACATCCCCTTAATATCACTGAATATTTCCCATAAATATTATACGTTTCATCACCTTTTCTGGCTTGTGGCGCGGCTGCTGTCCTGAACAATTCGCTCAAGGTTCCTCTTTAAATCAGCAGCCACGGCTCGCTTTTCTCCCTCCTCTCCAAATGCAGATTTCCACCATCATGCCATCCCACCCTTGGGACAAGACACGCACGCGCCATTTCTTGGTGTTAAGAACAAATCCGTCTCTTCTCACATCTTTCCCCTAGAGCCAAACTGCAGAAAATAAGTCTGCAGATCCAGCCTGGGTCCCTGGGCTGCCCTTTTGCTCTTCTTAGCAATGCTAAAGCCACGACACTTGCTGAAAGCCTCGGTGCTTGGTCAGGGAGACATCACCACCCCAGTGGACTTGGCAGCTGTTGCGTGACATCCTAAAGCAGCAGGAGCTGCCCTCAGCAGACTCCCACCAGCCAGACTCTGGGTCTGCTCCGTTCAGGATCCTTTCACACATACCTTGGTTCCTCTGTGCCCGGGGCATCCCTGGAAACCCTGCGTCCCGTTCGCGCCCGGTGGTCCACGCTCACCCTGGGGCATGAAGAGGAAAACACAATGGTCAGGGTTTGCCTGCTGCGGGCGTTTCTTTAGCTGACTGGGCATCAGCAAGCCTGGGAGGTGGCTTGGAAGCACAGGAGAAAACAGTGAATGAGGTTTTGAAAGGTCAACGTCCAGCCACCCGACCATCTCCTGCCCGCAACCTTCATCCCATAAAGGTCAACTGCAACTCTTCATGGCTGAGAAACATCCTTTCCAGACTCTCAGCTGTGGAAGAGTTTTAGAAAACTTCTCCTTCAAAAATAAAATGACAAGACAAAACCCTCAGAGCCCAACACAGATGTCTAATCCTGTTCCAACCTTCTAGCCCCAGGACAACATTGCATTGCACGCGATATCTGACAGCAGTGTTTGGCCCCTGCCTGTGCTATTGGAAAAGCGATGAGCTCCGCCAGCCCCTTGCCCTCGGCTTCACCTCCTGGGCATGACGTGTGGAGAGTTGTTTATTCCAGGGGTGATGTGGGATTCATGAAGTAAGAGTTTGGATGCAACAGTGATAGCAAGAAGTCATGGGACTCATGTTGTCTGCCACTGTGATGGATAGAAACACCCCTTTTTGATCTCATTCTTGGACTAACTCAAATCTTTCGTCTGCATTTGATATGGATAACTTTGGCATAGGCTGCAGCTTTAATGAAGTTGGGGATTTTATTGTGTTTATAATGACACTGCCCTGCTCACAGGTTTTGGGGACCAGCTGTAAACATTCCCACCTGCCTTGGAGGAATAGCACAGAGCTGGATCATATCAAATAATGGGAGTTATTCCCTTCATCACGCTTTCTCCAGCTCTTAAGGAGCTCCTTACTGACCTTCTCCCAGGAGCAGCTGGGACTCAGGCCATCAGGTGAGGAAGACATAAAGTTCTGCTTGCTCTCTCATCTAACCTACCCCCCGCAGTCACAGCAGAAAATATTTAGTGGAAAATCCTCCAAATGCTTCACTATAGTGAGGTCCCTAATTTGAGCAGTTACCGCACAGAGCAGAAGCAATCACTTACCGGTCCTCCTTCGTCACCAGGATAGCCTCCATAGCCAAGATCACCCGTGGCACCCTAGAAGACAGCAAAGAGGGTTTTGCATTTCTTTCATAGTTCTGTGA